GTGGCCTGGGGGCGCACCAAGCTGTGCTGGAGTCCCCAGGCCCCCCCTGAGCCCCCGCTCCTCCCCAGTGCCCTTCAGCAGCACCCAGCACCAGGCCATGGTGCTGCATGGCCCTGGGGGCAGCCCTCAGGGAAGGGACATCTCCTCCTCAGGGCAGCGCAGAGGCTGCGCCCCATCTCCACAGAGGACGCAGTGTGGGGGCCTGACCCCCTTCTCCTGCCCCCACACAGGCTCCAAATGCAGAAACCCCTGGGGCTTTCAGAGGGTGAGAGGCTCAGGGACCCCCACTCCCTTGTTTTGGTGTGAGCAGGACAATCCATATCTGGAGGCAGCACAAATTCCCCCCAACTCTGCTCCCAGCCCAGGCACTCACCCGGGAGGGACCCCCCCCTCCCCGTACCTCAGCATCCTGACGAGGGCTGGGATGCCGCCAGACTTGAAGATGGAGAGCAGGCCCTCGCGGTGGTGCGACAGGTTGTGCAGGATGCTGGTGGTGCAGCGAGCCGTGTCCAGGTCGCTGGTGCTCTGCATGGTGCGCACCACGGCCGCCACGATCTGGGGCGACTGCATCAGCGCGCGGCGCGACGCCTCCTTCTTGGAGAGCTGGTTGACGATCATGGCCGCTTTGCTGACAACCACCTGGTGGGGAGACATCGGTGGTGGGAGGGGGTCCCGCTGCCGCCCATCATGGCAGGGACAGGAGGGACCCCAGTCTGCAGGGTGACGGGAAGAGCCAAGAGCCAAGAGTCAGGGAGGAGTGCTCAGTGTCTGTGTTGCATCCAAGCAGCAAGGACAGGCTGTGAGGAGCTGAGGGTGGGCAGAGGGAATCACAGAGCAAGAGGAAGGAGCTGGATGGTGGCCATGGAGCCCCACGTCCTTACCGGGTCCTCGTCGTTGAGCAGCTTGGTGAGCTCCGGGATGGCGCGGGTGGCCAGCTCGGCATCATCCTGGTAGTTGATGAGGTGCACAATGGCCGACTTCAGCATCTGCGAGGGCTCGGCCAGGCGCTGCACATTGGTCTGCTGCCCCTCCAGCTGCGTGGTGATAAGCAGTGAGCGGTCCTCCACCGTCTCGGGGTACATGGCTGCCCGGACGCGCTGCGCCCGTGTCATGGCCAGCTGGGCCTCCATGTCCGCTGCGGGGGAGATGGGAAGGTGGCGTGAGGCTCGGGCTCTCTCTCCACGCCCAGCCCCACTTCCCCATCACAATCAGCTGAGCAAGAGCTTAGCGCAGCAACACCGGCCACGTCAGCAGCCCCGGCACGCTCTGCAAGGAGCCAGTGCTTCAAAGCGTAAACAGATACAGCAGCACAGAGATAAGACAACACTCAATTAGGCAGCATGATGAGGCAGTAGTCACACAAGGCCCATTAATTAAAAAATTAAGGATATTTGCAACTTAGGACCAGCTGACTCCAGGGATTAGAAGGACACAGAGGCCTCGTCATCGAGGATCCAGGGACAAGCGCAACCCGAGGGGCAGAGTGGTCCCACGGTCCCCCTCTCTGTGGCACAGGGATGGGGGGGGGACGACACCGGGGAGGCTCATCCCTCTCCATGGGGCTCTGGCCATTATGGGGGAACCACAGAGGCATGGGGATCAAACCAGCTTCCTTTAAGGAATAAATCTGGGGGAAGCATCTCCTTTGGCTCAGGGGGCTGTGTCTCTGTCTGCTTCACCCTTGCAGCCACAGGAGAAGCCAAACCAGCCTGGGGGGCTTTACAGCACCTCCAGCAACGCCACCAGCTGCGCCGAGACAGGCTCCCCGAGCAGGCGGCCGGCCGTGGGCTGGGATCAGCTGTTCCCATCTTGGAGCCAGCGCCCCGGCGCGCT